TATCAGACAAGTTTGCAAACGTTTGTAGTTTGGGAATTTGTATGATATACATTATGCAAAATTTTAAAATCACCTTTTTTATTTTGTTGGATATGCTGAACTTTTCAGGTAATAACCACACACTCTTCTATTGAATGCTGTCAGAAAAATTGGTCCAGAAAAATGTACATCTTGGGAAGGTATATAGAGTAATAATGCAACACTCGTCTGACATGTCTGTTTTAACATTTTTTTAGCAAAAAAATACACTTCATCCAGAAAAAGTTTAGGCATGATTGTTTTCCTCTCATTAAAGTAAAGAAACATCTTAAATAAATGCACACAACATGATGACAAACTCTTTAACACAATTGAAGAATTTGGCTGGCAGAGAAAATTATACAATGTTGTAAATTCTTCATATTCCAGAATATTGCCATAGTTCACTGCCTTTCTTAAAAAACTGTTGGCCTCATGGCATAGTAAACTATGGAAGCATACAATTATTAATATTTAAGGGCATAGTTCACTCAAAACTAAAAATTCTGTCATCATTTACTCCTTTTCACCTGTCACAAACCTGTTTTCTGAGTTTTTTTTGTTTGTTTACGCAAAACATATTTTTGCTGCTTGTTCAAATTACTTATTTGAAATTAGTTGAAATAACACAATTCCTGATTTTATTTGGGAGAACTTAATTGTTCGAGGCTCGAACCAGCAACCTTCTTGCTTTAAGGCGACAGCTCTACACTGCACCGCCTTACAAATACATTTATTAAAATGATGTATATACTTTAGAAATAAAAAGATAATATATTTAAATTCAAGAGAAATATTGCAACAACAACAACAAACTAAATTGTATATCATTTTTGTTTCTTGTGTTTTTTCTTCTTTTTAAAATGTAAAATTTATTTTTTCTCCTAACATATAAATTTAGGTGTAATAATTTTTATTACTGTTAGTTTTTTTGTTAGATTAGGTCCAGATTTGGCTTCAATACTGACTGATCTAATGTATGTACACAAATATAATTTTGTAAAGCTTACTATAGAAAATATCAATTTAAAAGATTTGTAAGGGGACTACTCATATATGCTGATATATATAGTCAAGGCCAAAATTGTTGACACCTTTAGGTGTATATGTGTGTGTGTGTGGCATATTGATTTAAATTTATTTAACCAGTTTTACTACAAACATAGTTGAACTGTGGTTGGTACAGCAAAACCAAATGTGTGGTTATAATATTTAACAAGTTTTGTTTATATCACCCACTACGAATACTCAAATTATTGCCAAAACCCACTTACTTTTTGCTTTGAGATTAAATAATCTCATTCTTCTTTGTATTATTAGTATGAGAAAATGTATTCTATAGCCACATTTTATAAGCAAGCAAACAAATTCCTCAAAATCTTGCTTACACACAGTTATCTAATAGGTTTTAGGCATTGCCTGCAGTCATATGGTACTTGTTGGTAACTTCCCAAGCCAGAGACTGGAGTTTATTTCACATTCTTAACAATGAAAACATCCTGTCAGCCTCTTTCCTCTCACAAAGCTGAACAAGAGCCAAGGACGCAAACAGCGGTCTTATCGGTCAACAGCCGATTTACTCTGGAGCTTCTCATTTTCTTTTGCAGTGGCATTTAGACAAATGAGAGGAGCTCCTAAACTAACACCGGAGGACGGCCGGCCATATCACACGCTGCCCACCTTCATTCATTACCTATATGAAAATAAAGCAGAGAATGTGATCAAAGCAATCTCCACTTCGCCTCTCTTCCTGGCCCGGAAAGGGAATGACTCAGAATTGATTGCTGTTGCTTCTTTTTGTTTGCCTTCGCATGGAACGCTGTTATCTCCTATTAAAAGAGTGTGTGTGAAGAGATCTCCGCGGACATAAATCACAGAAGCAGCCCTCCTTCAGGCAAGCAGAGAAGCAATCAATTACATACAAGAAGACAGAGAGGAGGAGGCTGACAGCACATTCCCTCTCCTCCCTTATTAACATAATTATTCCCTTAGTATTTATGCAAAAGTACACAATGGTATGAGCTTTTTTGCAGATTAACATTTCTTAGGGGGCTTGTTGTTGGGTAAACTTCATGTTTCGACTAAACACAGACCATTGGTTGAAACTGTTCTGAAAAAAAAAAGAAAAAAAAAAGTTCATACAAGTTTTAACAATATGGATGAACTGAAACCACTTTTTTATGAACCGATACCAGTACGAGTATTTTAATTTGTGTACTCGCTGATACAGAGTACCAATTCCGATTCTTCATAGATTTGGTTTCAATGAAAGTGCAATTAATGGAGGTTGCAAGGCAGCTGTTAAGGCATTGCTAGGGTGTAATATGGTTCTAGTAGGAATTAGCATATCGCTAGCATGTTTCTAGCATGAACTACCATGTTTCTAGCATAAACTAGCATGTTGCTAACATTAATTTAGCATGAATTAGCTTGTTGCAAGTATGTTTATAGTATTTTTTTTGTGTACTCGCTGATACAGAGTACCGATTCCGATACTTCATAGATTTAGTTTCAATGAAAGTGCAATTAATGGAGGCTGCTAGGTTGTTAATGTGTTGCTAAGTGGTTGATAAGGTGTAATTCGCATGGTTCTCTTATAAATTAGCATGTTTCTAGTATAAATTAGCAAGGTTTTTGCGTGGTTCTAGTATGAACTAGCATGTTTCTAGTAGCATGTTGTAAACATGACGTAAGTATGAATTAACATGTTGCTAGTATGTTTATAGTATTTTAATTTGTGACTTTTCTGAATTTTCCGGGACAGTTTTTGGAAAACCGTAAGTCGAACCATATGTCAGTTGGAAAAGATATAACAACCTAATTCAGTTTAGTTTGGAGGTTTGGAGTTGGTTTGGTGGTTGTAGTATGAACAGTCTAGGAGGGGATGCATTCTTAAAATAGTCTAAGAAGAAGACAGAAGAAGAATACTAAGTTAAAGTAGTATAACAGAATGTTGGCTTTCTCAAGCCACCATAACTATGGGTGGGTCACATGTGGATAAGATCAATAGTTGGTTATGCAAACTTTGACTACTTTCTCTAAAATATTAAGATGTTTTAAGCAATTTTAACTTGACATACTGCCACAAATACGCATGCTCTCATTTAAAAATCACATGACCATCATCTCACAATGTTTGAGTTTCTGGCAATAGATGATTTTTTGTGATGATATGGACTAAATATTAAAAAGGAAACAGAAGTTTGACAACAACAGATCCTAACAATGTCATAACGAATGCCCTTAAATAATGTAGCCTAGTTGACAGCAAGCATGAAATGGTTATTGAGATTGTGTCGTCTGTCATGCATAGACTATCTGATCTCTACAGAAGCTGGTAAAAGACGTGCACAGTGACCGCAGTGTTCAGCTTTGATGAGGTGCTTTTATTTAGCCTGTAGTCCACTATATATAATAGTTTATATTTTTTATATAATGTTCCATTACCTAAAATTTCTTAATTTTTTATATTTATAGTTTTTGTATATAAAATGAGTGCTAGCTTGGATCATAATGCACATTCGGTTTCTTCTTCAGTAGCTTATACATTTGTTAATCATGTATTTTATAAACGGATTAAGGAATAAGCTGCTAATATATAATTAATACATTAAGACATTGAAGTCAGTCAGAACAGCAAAACAAATCCATGTAGTGAATTACTGTTGAGTGGTATTGGTCAGTGGTATCGGCATTTCATGTATGATATGAGTATGAGTATTTTAACCAAGTATCAACCCGATGCCCGATACTGTTTTCGGCAACTCAGGCTCATTCTGAAAATGTACCTCTATAAACATTTCTGGAGAGCGTCAAATATATCCCAGAAGGTACTCTTTTTGCAGTTTTTAATTTCTCAAATCCACTAGAGGCCGCAGTGTACGCTTTTTGAGATCTAAAATTTCTCTTGCGAGTGCCATTCGTGCCTGCTGTTCTCTCATAAATCCACCAGAGGCCAGTGTTAAGTGACTGTTTGAATGACTGACTGAATGACTGACCGATCAACTGACCCACCGTCCCCCTTCCCTAAACCCAACCAATAGTTTAAAAAGCAGATTGACCCGCCCACCCGCTTCCCTGAACCCAACTGACAAATTTAAAAAGCAATTCAGAAAAATAAATGCCCTCGTATGATTTTCACTATGTTTTACCACATTCTCACCCTGTTATTTACTTGTTTATTTTATTTTTTGGCTTCTGTTCTTGTCTTACCTGCTATCTGGAACTGTTTTTCACCGGACTTGAACCCCAATGTCTTTCTCATCTCCTCTCTCCATCTCAAGTCCACCGACGTACATGCTGAGCTAACTGAACAAACTAATAACAGCCAGGAAGCAGTCCATACGGAGGTAAGGGTTCAGCAGGTAAGTACGAACAGGAACGGTGTCATACTGCCCTGTAGCATTCGTTTACAAAATGAAATGCAGCCATACGTACTTGTGGCTACATTATTCACAATCTCCAGAAATGTGTATAAGGCTACGTTTTCAGAATGAGCCTATGTTGGGCATCGGTGCATCCCTAATTTTAACATTTGTTTGCACTTGATTTGATTCTATAATTAAATGCAAAAACATGCAGTTTACCAGAAAAAAAAACGGAGCTAGCTTGTGTGCTAGGAACGGTAGTCTTTTTTTTCTGAATGCAGCTGGCTGTGGCGCTCATTGCAGCTGTGGCATTGCAGACCTTTCAGTGTGATTGTAATGAGATAGAGGTCTGTTCACTGACCTGAGCTCTATGTTTCAGAGTTACACACAGCTGGGGACAGATAAGCAGAAACAGAGGCCTGGCTGGGTCAGTGGCCCTGAGGTCGAGTGGTCACTGAAGTGTGGACACCATCCACCCGCAACCCCTCCTAACAGACATGAACCGATACACACACATATCTACACACACCTTTGTTTAAGTCATTTCAATGGTTTTGCATCTTATTTTGGATGAAATTAACGACAAAACAGCTCACCACAATATTTTGAAAGCTCATCAAATATAAAACAATAATTTATTATTTCTCTCATTTTACAGGACATCAAATTGCGTGTCTAACTAATGATTTGTTAAACTGTATTATCTTGCTGCAATACAATGGAGACCTATATAAAAGGCTTTTTGTCTACAACAGACATTAATATCAACAATAATACAAACAGATTTAGATTTCAATAAATGTTTGATGTATGACAAATGTAACAGTAGCCGTGTGACGTAAGAACTTTAGGAAAAAAACAGCACCTTTTAAAATCTGTAAAGCAAAGTTATTTGTTGTAAAACTCTGTCATAATGACTGAAAGGTATACAATAACACCCGGCGATTTTCTGTGATGATCATGAAGCTAAATATCTGCATTGCTTTAATGAGCAATATGTATGCATAAATAAGTACAATACTGTTGACTGTTAGTTTACTCGTAAAAAAAATAAAACAAAACAAAAATTCTAATGGTTCTTTATGGTCTTGGTACTGTTGTCCAAAAACCCTTTAGAGTCCGAATGGTCATGATTCAATAACAGAATATTTCAAACCACAAGCTCAATATAGAAATGAACAGAGCAAATAAGAAACACGTTCTTATCTCTTGTATAAAACCATCATCCTATTCAATATTTCAGACTCTCGTTGTACCTTCTTTTGGCAAATGGCTCCTTCAGACAAGGCATTCATATTTCCTATTTACAAATGTTGCCGCATTGAACGAGGCAGAATTGTCTACCCCATCGGTAGTGTCCTATATACAGAACATTTCAGAGCCTACACTGTAGTCACAGAGAGTAGGGAATTGTACACTCGTGTCCCATCAGGGGACTTTGTACCATGGGTCAACAGTTCCTGGATAGTCATCCAATTGTCAAAGATTTTCTTATTCCGCTTCTTCATCATTTTTTTGTGACTAAGTTCGATAATGTTGACATCTTTCTTGTCCTCAGTGGTGACCCCCAGCTCTTTCTGACAATCCATACGGCTCTGCTTCATGAACTCCCTACGTTGACGTTGTTCTTTGGCACGGACGGCGTGTTGCTTGCGCTCTTCTTTGCTCCAATACCGACCCATCTTCATCTCGCTTACGGCATCATCATCTGTGGTCATCCCACTGCGCTCCTCTCGGATCCGTAGTGCTCGCTCTTTCAGAAGCTTGTCTCGAACTGGCCGCTTGGTAATGTATCGGGTACCGTCACTGCGGATCTTCACTTTCCATTCCATCTTGGGTCCCAAGTCAGCAGAAGTGACAGGGTCCCGGCACATGCTTACTAAGCTCATCTGGCTTTGGGCATACTCCACTGACTTTTGCTGGATCAGCTGCATGTAGCTCTGGTAGTGCTGGGCATGAGCCGGGATGTGGGCATGTTTGTAGGGTGATTGAGGATGTGCATGACGACCTCCTTTGCGCTCTCTGACTTCAGGTTGGGTACCAACCTCTGACTCTTTTAATAATGTTGGACGGCCCCTAGTGGGGCTGCAAGCCTCTTGGACGGGTGAGAGAAGGGGTTTGAGAATTCTGCTGGGACCCGAGGTACTGCTACTTGCCCCTGCTTCTGCTTGGCTTTCATTTCCACGTCGCAAGGAGTTGTCCGGGGAGAGCTCTAATGTGAGCGGGGTGCTACGGCAACTTTCACCAGTATTGTATGCACTGGAACTGTCCTTGTCAGACTTTTCCGGAAGTTCACTGATGTCTGCTAACTCGTGACGCCTTGCATCTACGCTTGTGTTGTAGTTGCGAAAGCCACTGTTGTGCAGCATCCAGGACTGTTCGCGGCACTGCTCCCGTAACTGCTGCATGCGGTGCGCTCTGACTATGCTCAGGCATTCAAGCTCAATGCTGCGGAGCTCCTCATTCAGAAGTTCCAGTTCTTTGTCGACACCCTCCTCTCCAACACCGCCTTGTCCACCACTGGGCCACAACAAGCTTTGATCTGGGGTACCACTACTGCCTGCACTCTGCATCTGGCACTTCAGCTCCAAAAGTTCCCGAAACCGCTCACATTCATCAGCAGGAAAGTCACCCAAGAATTCTGCGTCTGCATAGTCTGCAGATATGAAGGACTCGCTGCTGAAGGGGAGGTCACCACTGCCAAGGGTGTCCTGACTGTATGCGAGTCTGCGCCGGCTGCCCAGTGTGGTGGAGGCGCTGGTCTGGTCATCTGCGAGATTCTCCTGCTCAGAGCTCTCATCGTTGCGAGTGCTGTCATCAGTGCGGCCCACACCACTGTCTTTCTCATGGTGGTGGGAGAGCAGTGTGGCTGTATCTGTTGTACCTCCATCTTCCTCGTGCTTTTTCTGTAACAAAACAATTCAGGGTATATTGTTAATCTCTTCAGTGAAAACCTTCAATAACACCATACTCTATGTATGAATACATTCAAGCCAGGATAAGGAATCGTTTGGGTTCTTTCATGATACTGATGGCGAATCTACAATGCATCTGCAAAGTATTCATAGTGCTTGACTTTTTCCACAATTTTTATATTACAGCCTTATTCCAAAATGGCTTAAATACATTTATTTCCTCAAAATTCTACACACAATGCCCCAAAAAGACAATGAGAAAAAAAGATTTTTTGAAATTGTTGCAAATTTATATATACATATATATATATAAACCCTGAAAAATCACATGTACATACTGTAAGTATTCACAGCCTTTGTCGTCAAGCTCTAAATTGAGCTCAGGTACATTCTGTTTCTACTGATCATACATGAGATGTTTCAGCAGCTTAATTGGAGTTCACCTGTCTATATAAGGTCCCAGGGTTGACAGTGCATGTCAAAGCACAAACCAAGCATGAAGACAAAGGAATTGTCTGTAGAATTCAGAGACAGGATTGTCTCGAGGCACAAGGTTCGGGAAGGTTACAGAAAAAATTTTGCTGCTCTGAAAGTTCCAATGAGCACAGTGGCTTTCATCAAGATGTTTGAAATCACCAGGACTCTTCCTAGAGCTGGCCGACCATCTAAGCTGAGTGATCGGGGGAGAAGGGCCTTAGTCAGCGAGGTTATCAATAACCTAATGGTCACTCTGTCTGAGCTCCAGCTTTTTTCTGTGGCGAGAGGAGAACCTTACAGATGGACAACCATATATGTGCAGCAATCCACCAATCAGGCCTGTATGGTAGAGTGGCCAGAGAAAAGCCACTCCCCCCTAAAGTATGTCAAAAGGCATCTTAAGGACTCTCAGACCATAAGAAACTAAATTCTCTGATGACACTAAAATTAAACCCCTTGGAGTGAATGCCAGGCTAATACTATCATGCTGTGAAGATGTTTTTCAGCAGCAGGAACTGAAAAACTAGTCCGGATAGAGGGAAAGATGAATGCAGCAATGTACAGAGACATCCTGAATGAAAACCTGCTTCAGATTGCTCTTGACCTCAGACTGGGGCGACAGTTTTTCTTCCAGCAGGACAATGAACCAAAGCACACCGCCAAGATATAAATGGAGTGGCTTCACAACAACTCGGTGAATGTCCTTGAGTGGCCCAGCCAGAGCCCAGACCTAAATCCTATTGAACATCTCTGGAAAGATCTGAAAATGGCTGTACACCATCGCTTCCCAATCCAATCTGATAGAGCTTGAGAGGTTCTACAAAGAGGAATGGGTAAAAATTCCCAAAGACAGGTGTGCCAAGCTTGTGGCATCATATTCAAAATGACTTAAGGTTGTAATTACTGCCAAAGGTGCATCAACAAAGCATTGAACAAAGGCTGTGAATTTTTAATTAATTTGCAACAATTTCAAAAAAATATTTTGTTCACATTGTCATTATGGGGTATTGTGTGCAAAATTTTAAGGAAATAAATTAATTTAATCCATTTTGGAATAAGGCTGTAACAAAAAATGTGGCAAAAGTGAAGCACTATGAATACTTTCCGGATGCATTGTAAGTATCGATTTGCCACTGGTATAGTAAAAAAAAACCAAGCTATTACATTAACTACAATAATTGCCCTCTTATTAAGTTTCATTACTGATAACAGCAATGTTAGCAATTGTTTATACAGCCATATTTGCCTTTTAACTGTCATGATACATTTTTTAAATGAAGTACACAAATAAGTACAATACTGTATGGCATTTAAACCGAACAGCTATAAGCCTAATTCTGTACCTTTTAAATTAATCATACAATAAAAGTAATTAAACTAAATTAAGAGCCATTTCAAAGTCTTGTTTAAAGTACAGAAGTTGTTACCCCCTTTACACAGGCAATTGTCAACTCATCTTGTCTATGGTTATTGCTGTCTTCAGCATTGGAGTTGACCATACTGGCACTGGGTGTCGGTTTACACTTCTAACTGGTTAAATCAATAGTCAAAATGCATTTTACCACATTTACACAAGCACAGATGTCCACTTCTAAAATGGATGTTTGGGGCCCTAAAATGTAGTCATGCTTTCTTTTAAACCAGAGTCCTAGCTTGACTGCTTTACCTCCTGTACAGTGACAGACACAGACAATTATGATTGATATGTTGGATGTCATGCGATGACAGGCTGAGCTGTGATTGACTGATCTACTCCACGAGTGACTTTGTGATGGATTTGCTGTACCTGCTGAAGCATGCTTGCTGTGAACTGCATAGCCTGATGGTGTTGTTGCTCCAACATATCCATGTGAAGGTCATCCAGGTAGTCATTTCTGTCATCATCCATCCAACCCTCATCCAGCTAGTACAACAAGGACAGGACAAAAGCTATCAGCTGCCCTTCAGAGTTGGTAAAGAGCATGTATGATGTGTTTCTGGCATCTCACCTGTATCTCTGGCCGAGCCAATAGCAAGCACACATTTGGGTGTTCTTCACTGGTTAAAAGAGCCACTGCTTCCTCACGGTTTTGGATCTCAATGCCATTGATCTAAATTATGAAGTGGAGATTTGTTTATGCAAAATGCCTGAATATTAAGACTTATTCAAATAATCTCACTGATATAAAGCAAACCTGAATAATCCGATCTCCCTCTCGAATTCTTCCATCTTTCGCAGCAATGCTGTTTGGATCAATCTGTGCAATGAGAAACAATGGTGACCCAGAATACAAACTTGAACAAAGTGGCTTCATAGGCTTTAAAGAATGTGCCAGACATTACATACACATAAACAGCTACTTTCAGGAAAACTCACCTCACTGACATAGATCCCCGTCTCATCCTCATCATCGGTCCTGTAGCATACGGTAAACCCCAGTTTATCATGGATGTTTGTTCTGTATAAATCCACTTCCTAAAAGAACAATGATATTTTAATGCATAGCAGATTTCACGTCCATTCAGGAAGCTGATATTCTAAACAATGTAAAAAGGCAGTTTAATCATTGCAATATACAAAAACAGATGTGTTGATCTACACATTTGAATTATACGGAGCTACATGCTGCAACAAACCTGTACAAGTGTCATGTCTCATTTATCTAGCTGACATCTGTAAAAAGGTGAATCTTATGAAAACCTGTCTAGCTCAGGTAACATATACAGTATGTATTTGCAGGGCTGGGCCGATAAACGATATTACATTGAATCCTGATCAAATTTATGTCAACGATAATAAGCTCTGGACTTTTTTACTCTACAATAATCTAAGGGTCAATCTCACAGCAGAAATGAGCAGCAATGGAAATCTAAAAGGCCATTTATTGGACCCTCTAATTTTTGTGGCTTCTGTCATAGTTGGGGTCAGGGGCGTAGCGGACATTTTAAAAGTGTGAAGGACAGCTGAATGACATCCAAAAGTTTATGTTCATATTAATCACCTTTTTCTAGGTAATTAGAAAAAGGTGATGCCCCAGGTTGGGGTACTCTTAAATCTGGAAGCATTAACAACTTATATTGAAATATATATCGTTATCCTTCAATATGGAAAATAATTATTGACATGACATTTTTGCCCTATCGCCCTGCCCTGTGTATTTGTATGTACTATAATATACATGCAAGTGTTTTCAACATATTTATTATGACATATGAGATATGACATTACCAAACACTTACTTGGTATGTCTAATACAGCTTTTTACATTTTCTGTACAATATTGTTGTCTGTACGTAATGCATTTAAAAGTGCAGATGAACATCTTTATTGTTTATTGTTGTAATGTTAACATAACTTTAGAGTTAACATAAATTTAAAATATTTTTAGAAAACCCTTACACTCACCAAATCTGTCCATTTGCACTAAATACATTAAAATAGTACCATTACAAACAGTACTAAACAAAAATAACCTTCCCATTTTAATCAGCTTTTATTTATTTAAATGAAAATTTTCCCTATGATGGCAAAACTGAATTTTTAACAAAGGCTTTAGTCTTCAGTTCATTCAAAATTCAATGCTGATATGATACCAAATACACAAGTTTGATAAAGAATACTGTATTTCTTTTTACATGACATCTTTGAAAACAGTAGTTTTTTTATATTGTGGTATTGAGAATTTACAGTGCAAATGTGTGGAGGTTGTCACAAAAGATTAGGGTTGTCGCGATGCCATTAAATAATCTTATGATACTATAACAACTCAAGTATTATGATACCAAGCAGTATTGTGATACTGTAATTCATAACTCAAATTATAAAGAAAGTGGTCAGAAATACTTTATCTTATGTTATAATCGGCCTTCTTTAATTTAATAAATAATTCCTTTAAGGCCAAAAAGTATTATTTGCACCTCACTTCACCTAAAATGTATTCATTCTTTTTGTTTATTTTGTAAATAACTGACCAACAAAAAAATACATTAAAATAAAGATACAAAATGCCAAATTAAATTTGTTACAAAAGAGCATTTACCAACAAAATTAAGCTATATAAGTGCTCAAAATTGTTTCAGTGTTTTCTGTTGCTATTTTGGGATTTTTATCTATTTTTTTCAGTCTTATCAGGCAACAATCCAATGGAATTTAAAATTTCACTTTGTGAGTCGTTCTTTAAAGAAAGATATTGTTGATGTTGTTGTAGTTACTAAATCATATTAACAGAAGCAGAAATGAACCGATTCACATGTGTGTTCCAATTAAAGTGTTAGAAAACGTGCAATAGACTACCATAAAAGGTGCGAATTCTATACCGTTTTCCAACCTTAAAGGGCTCCACAGATTATTAAAATAAAATGGGTCTGTTGTTGCACCAACATGTGAACATTTTAGTGACTTTTCCACATGCAACATCTATTGTAGGTAAATTATTAATGATAATACTATTGTTTATAAACTACCATGGCACTGAGAGTATTTTGAAGCCATATCGCAATACTACCATAGTACCAGTAAACCATGCATGATGCAACCCTACAAAATACAATGAAAAGTTTAACGGTACCAGACACAATTTGAAAAATGGGTTTTTGTGTAATTTCCTAAGCAGTAACTGTTGATTATAACTTTATAAGCTGGTTATTTCATTACATAACATGATTACAAATCTCTCTAGCACATTACGAAAAGACCCTGAGCACTATGTATTATTGCATTGCCAACCTTAGAGCATCTAAAACTCTCTTTCCTTTGTCCTTGAGGTGCAAGAGCATTAATCAAGGTAAACAAGCGGGGAGGGAGGAGGTGGTGTTGAGCATTCAGATTGGCCCCATCCTAGTCATTGATCTTTGTCTGGAGGCCCCCACCGTGTCACCTGGAGGCCCTCAGGGGCCAATGAGAGGTCGTCGAGAGTACTGCATGCAGAGCATCTGCTGCTATAAGTCTCTGAACTTCATCTCTTTATGGACTCCTTCATTGTGACCCTCATGACTCACTGCCCAACACTCTCATTACGCTGCAATCTGTCTATGCTTATTGTACACCGAGATCCATCAGGCCAGTCTGATCCCAACCTATCCAATTATCTCTTTTCACCGAAGTATAAGTCAATGACAAAGGTAAATAATGATATCCTCTTCTCGCATCTGTTTCAGGGCGAAAAAGGCTACTTGATATCAGTACGGCTGACCACTTGGGTGCCTGTGTGAGGTTATTGAGGGTTTGTTTGGTAAATTCACCAATTGATCAGCAGAGACAGATTGCATCAGGCCTGGCGTCAGCATGTCTTTCTTTATGTCTTCAGTCATCCTTTTATCGTGAATTGAGTTAGGAGTAAAGGGAGACGTTGTGTGGTACATTACCTCATATTCCAGCTCTTCTCTTTCTATCTCGTGCTGCATGCCCTCTAGGAAATCATTAGGGTCGAAGTATTCATGAGCTGGAGAGTGCCTAGAAAACAGAAAACAAATCATATTGAAAATAACATCATAGAGGGACTATAATTAAGAAAATAGCAATGTGTTCAAGCGTTAAACGCTCTATAAAATGTCACCAGTTTGGTTCCTAACTTCATTACAACCTCTTAGCTTATGTGAGATGACTATGTGACAATGTGTACAATGATTTTTTTGTTGTTGTTTTACTCATCCAGTCTATTTTAGAGCTACGATTGCCAATTTTACAACACTTATGCAGGGCTCGAAATTAACTTTCTTACTTGGTAGCACTGGTGCTCCCAACCTGAAATATTTAGGAGCACCAGAAAAAATTTTGGAGCACTCACCAAAAATGAATGATATATTTGACAAGTTGTATATTAAGGGATTTGTTGTATTCGAAAACAACATCAATTGGGACTAACAAAACCCAAAAAAACTATCTAACTAATGCTGTGATGACTTAATATTCGTGCAGTAATTCCAAAATGAATGTTGAATAATTATAAAATATTAATGATGACGACGATGACAATAATACTAATAATGAATTAAATTTCTCATCATCATGCTGCCTTGAATGTGCTTTAATGTAAGTCATCTGCTATATAAAGTCCTACTGTTACTTTATGAAAAATATATTGATGGTTTGCATCAAACACAAATGAAGCATTGTAGTAAGAAATATTTATTTTGTACTATTGTTTTTATATGCATGTCAATTCAATAAATAATAGTTCTGCTACAAAACAAATGATATAATATAATAAATCATTCAATTCAATGCTGAAAGCTGCAAAGCAGTCATCAGTAATTAAATAGAAAAATAATATACACCTCAAGAAAGAACGGACAAAAGAAAGGAAGAAAAGTCTCACTTTTAAAAGTTTTGGTTTCGGTTCGTGTTGTTTTAATGCTCAGCCTCGTTACGCGCTGAATTACATTTTTCTGTGTTTGCGGAAAAGCATGCGAGTCAGCCGGCCCAATATGAGGGGGGCAGAGCAGGATTCTCCCGATGACCACCGGCGCAATACTGTTCTTTGTTATAACTCGCATCAGTTTAAACTCAGTAAAGGCAAGCTTCTTTGGCGATGGTGTTTTAGCGGACATTTGCGCTGTTGCAGCCTGATCTCACGAGGAAACGTGAGATTGTGTTGGCTGAACACGCAGTGCATGCAACGCATCAAGATTCAGTGTACTTTTCACTCTTCAGCCATTTGCATTCCCCACGGTCACAAAAGCTCCCTCCCTGTCGACTGACAGCGGAAAGTCTTGAGTGAGTGACAGCTAATATGAACCAATATAGCGGCAGTTTTTAGAAAAAAAACAAAAAAAAAAAAAAAAAACAGGTCGCACTACAACCATTATATGCAGTTGCACGAATGCTCCCAATATATATTATGAGGTCGCATAGCTTAAATTACAAGCGCATATTTCGAGCCCTGTTATGTGACACTTTATCCTTGGACAACACCAGTCATTATCTATTTTCAAAACTCAGTTTTTTACAAAGTATATGAAATAATGAAGTAAAGACAAGCATGGGAATTAGAAATAAGTTGTATGTTGGCGGTACAAAAATTAATTAAACTCTACTTTCAAAGCTTTAACCTGTGAGAGACAAACCCCGAGGACACATGCAGATAGATAAGGTAAATCCAAATAAATGAACGTAACTTAATTTCATCTTGTGCCCTGGGCCTAAACGTCTAACAAGTATATTAAAATCTTGTTGAGCTGGCAGAGCAACTTTTAAATGAAGTAAAAACCATGTAAATGCTACAAATAGCTACTCCCTCTGCTATAATCCACAGTTAGGTTTCCAAAATCTCTAATAAGCATTGTAAGTGGTCCAGGAATCTGTCACTCACCCCTCTGGCAGGAGGTACTGTTCAAGCACATCCACAGGAGTGGAGGATGTAGGCAGTTTGCTGAGGGCCATGATATGCTGGAAGGTGATGTCTGTCTGGGTGCTGATGTCCACGACCTGTCCTTCCCCAGTCGGGCCTGTAGGTTTGGGTCTGGGAGCCCGACGAAGCACCTGGACCATAATGGGCTCTTTAGCCATACGGAAGGCCTCCACTGCCTGGTCGTGTGTCGCCTTGGACAAGTCCTTTCCATTGACCTGTTGAAACAGACAAACATAAGAGCATTGATTTAAACCAAGAATGAACATAACAGGTACATAGGTGCGCACTCATTATTAAAATAAAAAATCTGCACCAAATGTAATAATAAAAAAATAATAATAATAGGGGCGGAGCGGTGGCGCAGTAGGTAGTGCTGTCGCCTCACAGCAAGAAGGCCACTGGTTCGAGCCTCGGCTGGGTCAGTTCTCGTTTCTGTGTGGAGTTTGCATGTTCTCCCCGTGTTCGCATGGGTTTCCACTGGGTGCTCCGGTTTCCCATACAATCTACTGACATGCGCTATAAGTGACTTGGATGATTAAATTGGCCTTAGCGTATGAGTGTGTGGGTGAATGTAAGAGTGTTTCTCAGTAATGTTTTGCGACTGGAAGGGCATCCGCTGTGTAAAACATATGCCAGAATAGTTGTCGGTTCATTCCGCTGTGGCAACCCCTGATAAATTAAATATATATCTCTTGTTTTTGTTTTTTAAGCAGCAGTTTTAGCTTCAGAATTAGTTAAGGTTGAATCTAATGGAGCGGGCCACAGTACATGAGCTTGTACAACTTTCCACGTTTGTGGATTGGAGGAAGAATGAAAAATGAATAATGTTGGAGACTGTGGAGTTTAACAAATGACTAAGTAAAATCACTTAAAGCAGTAAAGTCACTGTAAAGCCCAACATACTGTACACAGAACCCCAGTATTAGTCTTAAGATTATCTATAGACAATTTTGAGGGATGTAAACAAAAACAATGGTCCTAATGTATTTCCTGATTTACATTTTTAATTTCTATAGCTTCTGAGAATCTAAAAAGAGCCACATATTATGAAATAATGTTTTAACATTAAGTTACGATTAAATTGCCTCTTGTTAGTTATCAAATAGTTTGATAACATGCAGGAAATGTTCATTGGCTAATGCCATGACCACATTAAAATGGTCTATAACTTGCACGTTATCATTTCCGCCATAACCGGTTAACAATTTTTTATAGCATTTCAATGAACTTCCTTTCCATAATATCTTTTATAAGAGCAATCAATGCTATCAAATATCGGAAGTTACTTGCCCCCTACAAGATACAGCTGAAATAGGTCACTTATTCACATGTAACCAAGTAATCACACAGACTTTTCTAATACTTGCATACAAGAGAAAATAATAAACAGTAGCCGACACCGTGTTGATCTGAACTACTTTATGTTTATTAGTCAGAACAATGTCAGGAGGAACTCTAAAAAGCCAGGATGCCGAAATGCACACACAGTCAGCATACAAGCAACTAGGACATTCAAAATGAAGCCTGTTCATTACAATTTTCTATAAAGTAAAAACTGCACTATAAACAGGACAATCCAATCCGACAGTGTAAATTTCCTTTCTATTGGGCTGAATGAAACCTAGTTCCACTTTAATGTCACACAACTGCAGTACTTGCACACGCAATGTGGATTATACACGCAAAACAGCACAAAAAGTGTCAGACCACCTTAAATGACATATAAAATGTTTTATCTGAGACCGGAGAAGGATCAGCATTGCTTTTTCGCACTATGGCTGTCAAGAATCACAAGTGCTTCAGCTCAGTGACTGCCTGAAAGATCTGTGATAAAAATGAAATGCTACCGGCTGTTTTTTAGTGGAGGAACTACGTTATTGAACAAAGCTGCACATTTCTAGGCACTTCAGTGGACCTTTAATCAGTAAAGCTGTACTGAAATATCCAAAGAAGCAAAGCAGCCATTGCAACTGCATCCAGCTAGACTCAGCGAAACGACAACAACAACATAAATTAGAAAGCGCTCTCTTGCTAATTAATCAGGGTCATTAAACAAAGCGAACCAAGGGAGCTTTCTTTAGCTAAGTAATTGAAGACGAGGGCCTCCCAGGAAGATGTTGTAGTTGCAGTACATGAGGAAATGAATGCAAGCTTGAGGGCCGAAGCATGGCACACCAATCAAGAGCAGTGCTCTGAAGATGAGGGCTAAAAGTAATGAGAAAGAAAAGGTTCAAAGCAATCTTGTAGTGCAGGAAAGCAAGGCCAGATGGGGTCAGAGCTGCACACATTGAGGGATATTTCAAAATGCATTTGTACAGAAGTTGCATTTAAGTGTTTGCAATTGTTACTACCAAAAGATAACACAGTGCTGCTGCTAGTACTTTTATATTCAGTTGGAGTCAGAATTATTAACCCTCCTTTGATTTTTTTCTTTCTTAAACATTTCCCAAATGATGTTAAGCAGAGCAAGACATTTTCATAGTATGTCTGATAATATTTTTTTGTTCTGGAGAAAGTCTTTTTTTGTTTTATTTCAGCTAGAATAAAAGCAGTTTGTAATTTAAAAAAAAAAAAAAAACATTCTAAGGTCAATATTATTAGCCCCTTTAAGACATATTTTTTTTTCGATTGTCAACAGAGCAAACCACCTAGCTAACCTAATTAAGCCTTTAAAAGTCACTTTAAGCTGTATAGAAGTGTCTTGAAAAATATCTAGTAAAATATTATTTACTGTCATCATAGCAAAGTTAAAATAAATCAGTTATTAGAAAGGAGTTATTAAAACTATCATGTTTAGAAATGTGCTGAAAAAAATCTTCTTTCCATTAAACATAAATTGGGTAAAAAAATAACAGGGGGGTAATAATGTACTATAAGTGACTTGGATGACTAAATAGGACTCAGTGTACAGTATGAGAGAGTGTGTGTGTGTGTGTGTGTGTGTGTGGAATGTGTGAGTGTTTGAGTGTTTCTTAGTAATGTGTTGTGACTGGAAGGGCATCCCCTGTGTAAAACCAATGCCCAAATAGTTTTCGGTTCATTCTGCTGTGGCAACCCCAATAAGCGACTAAGCCGAAGGAAAATGAATGAAAGAATTTTTAATGAAAAGAAATGAAAGTCTTTGTTATTCTGACCAACTCTCATATTCTAGAAGAAAAAAACTCTACATGATAACGTCATATTAGAAATTCAGAAGAAATGCTGTCAGACATTTAAAGAATAAAACAAATATTAACATTTTATATTATTAAAATAAAATCATATAATAAATAAAATCCACCAAAAAATTTGAAATTTAAAGTGGTCTCTTTGATGTTTTTTTTTTCATAGCTGTGATTATCAGGTTTAAATATTATTATATTATTAGTTTCTTGTTGTGGTAACTACCAACTACTGTATATACACTCACCGGCCACTTTATTACATAGGTACTAGGCTTGGGCGGTGTCCAAATTTTGAGACCGTCAAACCGCCTCCATATTTTACCCCGGTATCCGGTATTACCGGCGTAATAAAAAAAATTATGACGTAAGGCTCAGACAGCGTCACCAAACTGTTGGCTTGAGCCTAAACCATTCAGAAACTGAATACCTTCTATGCGACCTTAGGCAGAGAGAGAGAGAGAGAGAGAGAGAGAGACAGAGAGACAGAGAGACAGACTTTCTCTGTCTTACACAAACACACACACATCTCTCCCGCGATTTATTCAGAAATTTACTCCCACACCGTAAGAAATCTGGCCGGCTCCCGCGGGAATGCAGAGAGCTGTAATCGGGCCATAAAAATTATACCCGATAGGTCCCGAGTCCGACACGTACATTTTGATTGACAGCTTTATAAAGCCCGAGCCCTTACAGCTCTAATGCATTTTTTCAAGAATGAGTCATTTATATGTTTTAACATCATTTATTCGTAACAAACGTAGACTATATCCCACTTGAAAGTTGGAACAAAGAAATAAAATAAGTCCTCTGTAACATCGTAACATCTCAGCACTCTATAGGTCTACATGCACTCAGCCTTTAAATTGGCCAACACACCAATGAAAAGAAATCTTGCTTAACAAATCAAATAAACTCTAAATGATGACGGGTATTTTGGCAGTAACTAAATTGAAGCTGAATATTAAAAGAATAATGCCACCATTAGTCTGTATACTCTGTCTACATTATGATTATATGGTTTAATTAATATTTATTTATAATTTAAAACCCTTTACTCACCAAGATTAGGCTACGTGTGTTTGTGGAGGAACATTATTAAATCCACTGGCTTTAGCGCAGTCTTGCGCTCATGTGCGTCCAGCAGCACTGAACACCGTTTCACTGCTACTGCTACAGGCCGAGATGCAGAGTTCTGACCTGGCTGATTTTGCAAGTTTTAGGTAGGATTGTTTATTCATCTTATACCAGTCAGGAACATGCATTTAATTTTCCATGACCGTAGTTTCAGGGTAGCGAGTGGCCTCGACATTTTACCTGTCAGCTTGCGGTTTAGGGCTCTACCGTAATACGCAGTGTATGAGCGACCGCTAAATACCTGCGGCTGGAATAACCGCTCTTTCTGACTGGCTTGACCGCCGTCAAAATTCTCTTTTTTTTACTACTTCGTCATAATTTGCTTCACCTTTGCAGCGATGGATTTTAATGCAGGGATTTGGATTTTTTCGGGTCTCGCCGGGTTCGGGCAAAGGTCTTCAGCTCTAATGCAGACCTCTCGTTCATATTAACCACGTCTCCCTTCTGTTCAGTCGAAACTCCCAAACTGCAGGACACTTTGAAGCGCGACACGTCACGTCACCTCTCCCTCTCCCCCTCCCTCTCCCCCTCTCTCCCTCTCACCCTCTCCCCCTCTCTCCCTCTCCCCCTCCCTCTTCCTCTATCTCTCTCCTCCACACTGTCCCGTGATGACAACCACACACACGTTTTTTAGGCATTGAATAAAGGATATTTAATACTTTATGACGGTATAACGGTATTGAAACTGACACCGTTGCTATTTTTAGATCCCGCGGTATACCATAATACCGTAATATCGCCCAAGCCTAATAGGTACACCTTACTAGAACCGTGTTGGACCCCCTTTTGCCTTCAGAACTGCCTTAATCCTTCATGGCATAGATTCAACAAGGTACTGGAAATATTCCTCAGAGATTTTAGTCCATATTTACATGATAGCATCACACAGTTGCGGCAGATTTGGTGCAGATGGTTGT